TCCTTGGGAGAAGGGCGGCATATAAATCTAATAAACCTAAACCTAAACCTAAACTGAAGTGCCCTAGGAAGCCAAAGATGAATGGATGGAAGCAGAGGTGGTATTTAGCTGGTTCAGACCAGTTCGCTGAACTGGTAGTGGAAATCGCTGGTGGGCCGGGTCACCAGCTCACCTGCTCTATGCCATCCTATTTAGGCGTGTTTTCAAGTCGTGTGCATGTGTGTGATCAAAGTGCATGTGCGGAAGGCTCAGTGCATGCATGGATGTGCACACTCACATTTGCGAACCAGTAGGGAAAGTAAGTGAATGCCACCCCTGGATGAAAGGCTATGGTGTATATAGCATGCTTGTCTCTTGTCTGAACCTAGCTTGGGATATGTCTGCAGCAAACAGAAGTTTGTAGGGAAGATTGGAATATTGAGTGACTACATCTTGGTGAATGAGAAAGGAAAAGTATTCATTAGTTCCAAGAAAGCTTCAGATGAAACAGATTGACTGTTCTGGTGAAGAGGCCTTGTGTAGGAAAAGATAGGACAGGGAGAATGATGTGCTTTTTAAGATAGGAAAGAGAAAAGTCAAGGTAGTTGGGCACTCATTATTATGAGGTATTTAATTTGGTATCATTTCTTCATGTAGTGAGTTATCTAGTAGAAGCGAGGATCAAGAATGTGACAAAACCATTCGGAAGATTAATAAACTCCAACAATTCTGACAATTCTCCCTTTCTGCCAGTACATCTGGGGACAAATGAAACTGCAAAGAAGAGCTTCAACTCTTATCATTAGCGATTCTAACTCCATGCTTTGCTGATTAGCGAGCTAGTTTAGTGTGGGCTGGAAGACATAAGAATTAAGTGGATATTTGTCTGGCTCAGAAATCATACTTACCAATGGTTCCCTATTAAATTGGACACCACTATTGAGTGAGATGCCATGAAGATCAACTGGACCAGTTTTCAGTCAAAAGATTGTGTAGGCAATATTCACAGGTGGCCCAAATATTAAGAGAAGCCTTAAAGAGCAGTGGAGCAAAGGTTCACAAGAAGGAGTCTAGACAACAAAGCAAATTGTATGAATTTTCTAGCCCTTGACCCCCATAGATAAACTTAATCAGTGGTTCGGCATGCACACCGAATTGGCAGTAATGACGGCAGCAACCCACCCACTCAATTTAATGCTGAGATTCTTGCCTTACTGGCCCTAGATTAGTAATTTGCCACTTGGCTAGTTTATTTTCTAGTTGATGAACTCTTCTATATTTAGTAGATGCTTTTTTAAAATAGTTTGTAAATTTTTAATGTTTAGCTTGGCACAAGGAAAGGTAAGAGACTTTAACAGATTAACAGAGTTGGAAGGGACTTAATAGGTCGTCTACTCCAACCCTCACTCAAGCAGGAGACCCTACACCTTTTCTGACAGATGGCAGTCCAGTCTCTTCTTGAAAGCTTCCAGTGATGAAGCTCCCACGACATCTGAAGGCAGCTTCTGTTCCATTGGTTGATTGTTGTCACTGTCAGAAAGTTTCTCCTTATTTCTACGTTGAATCTCTCCTTGGTCAGTTTCCATCCAATATTTCTTGTCCGGCCTTCAGATGCTTTGGAAAATAGCTTGACCCCTCCTCCTCTCATAAATATTGGAATATTGCTATCATGTCTCCCCTGATCCTTCTCTTCAATAGTCAAGCCACACCCAGTTCCTGTAACCGTTGTTCATATGTTTTAGTCTCCAGTCCCCTAATCACCCTGGTTGCTCTTCTCTGCACTCTTTCTAGAGTCTCAACATCTTTTTTTTATAGTGTGGTGACCAAACCTAGATGCAATACTTTAGATGTGGTCTTACTAGGACTTTACAGAGTGGTATTAGTACCCCACTTGATCTTGATTGTATCCCTCTGTTAATGCAATTTAGGATTGCATTGGCTTTTTTGGCTGCCGCTACATGTTGCTGGCTCTTATTTAGCTGCTTCTCCATTAAGACTCCAAAATCCCTCTCACAGTCACTGCTAGACCTGTACACCACACTTGTGCACTGGTTCAACATGTCTCCTCTATATCACCTCTGCTGGGTAGTTTGAGACACATCTTTTCAGTCTTTTCATCATGTTGTCTATCTCTGTTCTAAAATGTGCAAGACAAATATTTCACACATTTATTGTGGCGGAATTCTTGGAACTTTGCAGAGCTCACGTTAATGTTCTTTGAAAGATCCCATTCCCTCATGAAACAACTCCAGACCTTTTTACATGGTCAAATATTTATCTAATGGAAGTTTGAATCAAGATCTTTTTGCTTCTAAACCTTGAATCTCAAATTCAGATAACATCTTCTAACTTTCCCATCTCAAATACAAACTGAGTCTTGACTGATTGGTGTGTCCCTATGAAATACTATGCAATTAACTCCTCATGACTGTTTTACTGACATCTTTGGACTATAAACAGAAGTGCAGCCAAGCTTGGCTCAATTATGAAACAGATTGAAGTGGTTGGCAAGACATGTTTTGGTGACAAGCAACAGCATGAAATGGTTAGCTACTTGCTTTGCCATTTTTGTATCTGTTGTGGTTCCACAATAGCTTAACTGACTTGCTGTATTTGGGCAACTAAATGATGTTATTTGCATTTAATTCTCAGACAGTAGAAAAAATTAGAATGGCACTACTCACAGTTTTGAATGATGATCTGAAGGATGTCCCTTGCAATCTATTTGTCCTCTGTTTTCTAACACATGTTAGAAATACTGTCAGAGTTTTTGCAGCAATCACATTCAGAAAGCATACANGTAGTGGCGGCAGCAGGAGGTTCCGCCCATCCACCTTCACGGACGCTCTGCGCATGTTCATAAGTGCCATGCGTGTTCCTGGTTCTGAAACAGTAGTGAAGGCAAGAGGATTTCATGCCTGATGTAGAGTGAACTGATTAGAAGGAATGTGCATACAGTAATTGAAAGAAGGTTTGATTAGGAACATGAAATTCCACGTTAAACTATAATCTGGTTTCTGGGTTCATATAAAGTCTGAAAGCAGGAAATCCAATTAAAAAGCTTTACAAACTATGTATTAACCATGATATGTCAATCTAGCCACTATATCTTCTGTCTTCTCCAATGCTATTCCTTTAGTTTTCTAAATTGTTCAGTGAGAGGCTTTTCTCAGCTCTTCATATCCCAAATCTGCCACCTTGAAAAATTGGGGCAGCATCTGCAGCCAATCACTTTTCTCATTAAAACAAACACCATAGTGATAAAAGGGTATTGTTCAGCAGTTAAAAACCTTGAGCAGTGCCGTGATTACATCTCCTGGCCACACAGAAACAACAGTGATGTTTTCATTTATCTCTGGAAAGATAATAAAAGAGAGATAGGCCTACTGATTGGAGAAAAATATACAACATGCTATTTTTAATTTTTAATAATGGCATGTGAATCCCTGGCAATGCGAAGGAGGCTGGTAACATGCTGGATTTAAGCTTATGTTTAAAAAGAGATGTTATCACTCTGCCATTAAAGTCAGTATTACACTTCTAAAAAAACAAGCAACCCAGCTTTAATAGGCTACACCAACGTAGACTCCAGGGAAGGCTTGAAGAATCCTTCAGTTGTACATTTTAAAAATAAATCCACCTTTCCCTAAGTTTAATTGTATTGTTTTGTTTATTTTGGTGTTTGGATTTTTTTAGGGGAGGCATATACATTAAGAAGGAACGCAGTGGCTCAGGGGCTAAGATGCTGAGTTTGTCAATCAGAAAAGGTCGGCAGTTTGAATCCCTAGTATCACGTAACGGAGTGAACTCCTGTTACTTGTCCCAATTTCTGCCAACCTAGCAGTTTGAAAGCATGCAAAAATACAAGTAGAAAAATAGGAACCACCTTTGGTGGGAAGGTAACAGCATTCTGTACGCCTTCGGCATTTAGTCATGCCAGCCACATGAGCAGGGAGACGTCTTCGGACAGCACTGGCTCTTCGGCTTCGAAACAGTGATGAGCACCGCCCCCTAGAGTCGAGAACGACTAGCACATATGTGCGAAGGGAACCTTTATACATTAAGAATACATTCAAGGGAAATGATTGCAAAAATTAATAAATAAATAGAGGAGCCCCTGATTTAAAATAATAATAATAATAGTACAGTATTAGGTTGCCCCAAAATTAACATATTGAATGAAAAACAAACATAGCAGGTACCTGACTTTAAAAAGGTGTAAACCTGGATCTAATTCTGCATGTAATGTTAAACGAAGCCACACTGGTAACAACAAAGGTCGACACCTGGCTTTTAGGCGAAGATGCTACCAGCCTATTCTACCGCTGGCATTTTGCTATGTGTATTCGTGTCGTAAAAGAACATGGCTTTTGTGCTGCTGCCACTGGAGGTGGCGGTGGGGGAGCGGTGTATATACGACGGCTTCGACTTGGCGCACGGCCTGAAATTCACTCAGAAGTGGGCGGCTGGTCCGCCGGTTCCTGGCACGGCGGAGGAAGGCGAGCGGGCGGAGGAAGCCGCCGGGGTCAAAAAGGGGCTCCTCGCCTGGCCCGGCGCCAATCGAGGGCTCTCGGGCGGTTCCGGGCTCGGCATCGCGGCTCCGCCTCGGGCCTGGATTGGCGAGAGGCCTCGGCGGAGGCTCCTCCCCGCCGAGTTGGGGCCGAGCGAGGGAAGGGGCAAAGAGGAGACGTCGGCAAAAGGAACCGCGGCGGGAGACGGCGGAGGCCCCTGGAGCTCGCCGCTCGGTTCGCCTCCTCGTTAGGGTAAGCCACCCGCAGGCCCTTATAGAAACGGCCGGCGCCGTAGTCGCCTGGACCCAGCTGCTCCCCCCTTTTCCATTCCGATGGGCCCGGGGTCCCTTTTCCCCACGCTTGATGCCCGCGAGGGGCTTCCCGGCCATCATTCAAGGACACATTTCGGAAGAAGCAGCCTCGGGGACCTGCTCCCTCCCCTCCCCTCCTCTCTCCCCGGGTCTATTTGGGAGAATGGCCGTGAGGTTTTCCCAATATCTAAGCGGCTGGAGGGGGAAATGATGAGTTCAGGAGCAGGACCCTCTCCGGTGTGGGGAAATTTGGGGTGGGGACGCCTTTCCTTGTCTATCATGGAGAGTTAAGGATTTGAATTTCCCCCCGAAGATTGTGGAAGGGGAGAAGTGGAAGGGAAAGGAAGGAAAATAATGTTCTGGCTATAGATAAAATCGAGATCGGTTTTTGAGTTCCTGCTTCTGAAAGAGACCTTCTCTTTGGATGAGAGATGAAGGTCCTCCATGTTTAGATTTTGCTTTAACATGTTGGCTGCATTTGCTTTCACCGTTGGAAAAGGCGGCTCAACCTTCTGTGTTTTTCTTTTTTTAAACCCAAAGGGGTCTTTCTCTAACATTTTATCATGCAGGAGGAAATGGAGACGCTGCTCTTGCTTGCAAGATTTGGAAGTATCATTTGATATTGGGAAATACTGATGTGAGGGGTCTGTGTCTGGGCTTTGGAATAACAATTCATTTCAACCATAATTAAGATCTCCCCAAACCTTAGAATCAAAATTTAGCTAGAGCAAACTGTTATCTGCTCCACTGCAGTAATTACAAGACATACCATTTACCTCATGCAGGGATGGAATCACAGCCAAATGAATGTGTAAAATCTAGCAAGATGATTGGCTAGCTGTACTATAAAGACTTCTTTCTGTGATTTTTGAACTTACAGTATTATTATTTTTCTGTGTCTGTGTTTCCAGAATGTGGAAGAAACTGGTGCATCTTTGCACCTTAGGGAACAGCTTCAGTGTGTAGGAGAGATGCACTTATCTAGGCACTCTCTTAAGCCTACAGGTAAAATCAAATACAAGATGTGTCATCAATTTCATTACAAATGGAAGGCTTAATAATTGATTTTTTAAAATCTCAGTTCAACTTTCCTACTTTATTCTTCTCTTCTCCCCCCCCCCCCCAAATCTTTTAGCTGAGTTTATTTTAACTGTCAAAAATCAGCTTTAAACCAGAATTGCAGTTGGATGTGGTGGTGGAGGAAAAATGGGAATTATAAATCAGTCTAAAAGTCTGGTGGTGGTATTTTGGGTACGCTAATATGTGCTCTTGTGAATAATAGTGGCAGCTGTTATTTTTGATTGGGTTTATACGCATAAATAATGCTGTGATGCTAGAACCAGTTTCTTGATTCTTCTGAATGAATGACTTTCTCATTTCCTGTGTGGTTGCAAGATTTATAAGATTGCTTTTAGGTCTTACTTATCCATTTGTTTACACAGGGAATGGATCACATGTGGCTCTAGGGTAGAATTCAAGTCTTGGTTTAATTCCAAAAGTCCTATGAAATAGAATTGGTCAGACTTCTGATAAGAACTGTTAGTCCCTTCACTGCAACCTGTAGTTTGAGAGAGAAAGGATATTAAAGAAAAAAAATATGAGAGAAAAAAAGAAAAGAGGGGTGTTTCTATTTTGGATTGTGGCTTCTATTTTGCTTGTTTCAATATTGCCCATAACATCATTCCCTGTAGAGTTTTTGTGTAATGCAGCCCTTGACAGAAAAAAGTAGCTTACTCCTGCTTTAAAGCTATATAAATGCAAACCTTCAGGAAAGCTTAGTGTGCAATGGAAAATTTATTTTCACATTTCTGCTTCTGTTGAGGAAACTTCATCCATTCATCCATTAAAATGCTCAGTTATTACTGCTGTTGCTTACTTTTAAATACAGTTTTTTCTCTTAGCAGTGATAGCTAGGACATTTTTCTTGTCTCTTCCTTTTCTGTCACACAAGCATTTCTATCACTGTTTTTTTATTGGGAAGCAATGATAAAAATCTGGTGAAATTGAGAAATAGTATCAATTAGATATTATGGTCAATGACAGTTTCAGCTGTTCTGAATCTGTATTGTAGCCTTCATTAGTGCCCTTCAGATATATTGGACTGCAGCTTCTGTAAGTGCAATTCAGTATGATGATAGACAATGGGAGTGAGGTATTTCATATTAGTCTTTGGGAATCCTATAGTAGTAAGGAGTAAACAATCTGCAACCATCACATTCTATATAAGCCACTCTGGTAACATCCAGTTTATTTCCATTTTGAGATAGGAAGGACAGAAAATATGTAACACAATGAAGATTTAACACTGTTAAAAATAAATTAGAGATCTTTTTTCTCATGCCCCAGTTCATTTGTAGGAAATTATCTCATCCACTGTGCCTTCAGCTTCCCCTCCCAATTTTTAAGAGAGGACCCTTGATATTAAAATGTTGCCAATTCTGCCATAAGGTTCAGAGTTAACCCTAGTAATGAAATGGTTACTATTATGTACTATCGTTAAGATATATCCCAAGGTGACACCAAAACAACTCAAAAATTCAAAAGCTCTTAATAAAACACCTTAAAAAACCCTAAATAGAATCTTTCTGGTTTTTCTTCATGTAAACAACAACAGTATAACATGCAATACGTGCAGTGCCATCATCCAGATTAAACTTCATTATTTCATTTTGCTGAATGTCTAAACTTTGTCTTGCATGTTTAGACATCTATAAACTATTTAGTTCCACCTAACTTTGGAATGATGTTGTGTAGCGATTGGTGATGGTATGGTGCCTCTATGACGTGGGAACCATAGTTTATAGATAAGCAATGTTTTCTTTAAATGCAATATATTAATGCAATGGATATTAAAATGGTTCATGGGTTTTCCCTGCTTTTGTGAGTGTTTTGTTGCCTTCCTTTCCTCTGTCTCGCTGTTGTACAATGACAGTTACATAAAGAGGGTATTGTGAAATTGGATTGAACGAACTGTTGTAACATGCAGAGCAGCACTTCTCAATATACTAATATTGCATATTAATGAGCTTAAAAGAGTGCATAATGAATGAGATAGCATCACATTTAAAATATTGAGCAAGATAGTGTCTCTGAAACCAATAGTGATGTGTTCAATGGCCTGGTTAAATATGTTCATATTTTTCTCTTTTTAAAGCAAAATCAGTAATGATCGTAACTTTGGTGATGCTTTCCAGATTTGAATTTACCAAATGTTTACAGATTCCCTTTTCAGCAACACTATTAGATTACCAGCCTGAGCCTTTTTATTAACAAATGGAAAGAACATTACTCTGGGTTATTAGATTAAAATATAGACACAAACAATCAAACTTCACTTTTTCTTACTTGATCTTATTTTTCATCAAATCATTGTGTTCCTATGGGCAGAATAATCAGGAAGTATAATTATGGTTAGATTTAATCTGTGTTGGATCTTCTAAAAGACAACATATATAAGATTGCTTTCTTCTTTATCCCATCACATTCTTGTCCGCAGCGTGCCTTGATGCATACCTACTGAGCATAGATTACAAGCCTTTATCAAATGCAATTTGATTCCCTTGATAAGGAACTATAGAATTCCATCTTTCAAGCCTGGCCAGAATACATGGATTTCATTCAGACTGGGAAGGAAGAAAGAATTTGATTTCTTCATTACTTGCTGTTCCGTTGTGTAGCTAAAATATTGATTGGTTGAAAGTGTTAAGATCTCCTTATGTTTTCCCTCTTGTTTGTGTGCCAGAAAGTATTGTTTGCTAGTAATTTGGAAGGCTGAGAATTTCATGAATTTAGAGGCTTTAAATTTAAATCAGCCTTATTAATTTGCTATGTGTGAAATCACAATCAAATACATATATTCTTATTTTGAAGACAGAGGTACTCTGATGGCTTCTAAAGATAGGCACACAACCTCTTCCATTTAACCTTAAGGAGCTGAAGTGTTGCTGGTTTGAGAAAAATGAGTGGTTTCGAGTACTGCATATTGTTTAATATCAAATAACCCATCTTCTGTTTTTTAAAAGAGTTGTGAGGCTTATAAGAATGAGTTTGTTGACTATTTTATTTTTTAAAAATGACATGGCTGACTATATGTGGGAATATGCTTTTATCTTTTATCTAAGAGCTGAGGGGGCACAGTGGTTAAATGCAGCACTGCAGGCTACTTCAGCTGACTGCAGTTTGGCTGTTCAAATCTCACCGGCTCAGGGTTGACTCAGCCTTCCATCCTTCCNTGATCTTGATTCTATCCCTCTGTTTATGTAGCCTAGAGGTGTGTTGGCTTTTTTGGCAGCTGCAGCACACTGCTGGCTCATATTTAAGTGATTGTCCATTAGGAATCCACGATCCCTCTCACAGCCACCACTATTAAGCAAGGTACCACATATACTGTACCTATGCATTTTCTTTTTCTTGCCTAACATGATGGAAGCAAGGATAGAAATAGGATAGATATCTTCAAAGAAAAATCATGTTTTTCAGCAATGTGGTAATAGACCTTGTACTAAGCAGGGAGATAGATTTATCAGTGTCCCCCAACCTTTTTGTCACCAGGAATTGGTTTGGTGGAAGATAATTTTTCAATGGATGGGAGGGGGTAATGGTTCAGTTTCACTTACTTTCCCCCACCGCTCACCTCCAGTTGTGTGGCCCAGTTCCTAACAAGCCATAGACCAGTCCCGGTCCATGGCCCAGGGGTAGGGGAACCATGGATTAAATGACTTTTTTTATTTTGATTCATTCCAACTCTATAATTCTATACATTTTAAGAAATTTATTAAAAAAATATACATAAAACTGTATATTTATTTTTGGTGCTTAACTGAAGTTGTTTTCTCTGATAGAAATAGATTAAATGACTTTTGAGATAGTTTCCAATTCTATAAGGCTATGAATTGTAGCAAATTTATTTAAAAATTATCTGGAGATAAAACTATGTATTTG